GCCTGGGTCCAGCTTGAGGGTCAGCCGGTGGTCTTGTCCTCTGGGTGACCTTTTCCAACAGTAGGACAGAGGGGGCGCCGACATGACTGAAGTGTAGGAAGGAGGGGACAGGGATGTGGAATGAGGCAGAGAGGCCAAGGAGGGAGGTGATGTTGAGCTGTCGCTCAGTGATTTGTGTCCAGTAAGAAATTTAGCTTTTACTTCATTTCAATAGAGTAAATTCTCAGATTTGCAGCAAAGAGTGGGGTGCAGTCATATTGTCCGATTTATATTTTAAAAGGATCATTCTGGTCCCTATCAGGAAAAAAAGGAACTTATATTTTCAACGGGCACAATCTACTTCAAGGTTAAATTCCTGTATTAGATTTGGCTGTTAAAGTTCATGCCATTGTAATAAGTTAATACTAGGTTGGTATGAATATTAGATCAATGTAGAGAAATGTTCTGAAAAGACTTGCATATATATTGCCTCATAGGACCTTTTTTCCCCACAGAAGTGCCTTAAGCTCAAGACGAGACCAGGTGGTTGGAGTCCGGGCTTTTATCTCCTTTGTGTATAAGCCTTCCCCCCTTTTCCCCTTCATCCTCTCTTCTTCAGATCAGTTAGACTTACCCTCTGTTTTCATGGGGAAATGGTTTTTCTGGTAGCATCACAGTTTTTCAGTTCTTGCCTATTTACAGTTAAATGCACTTCAAACATTGGTGGGAAGGCAAGAGTCTTAACACCATCCAGAAGTTTGCGTCTCAGTGACTCTGAAACATGTAACACAGAAGAGAGAGCAGAAGAGCCTGGAGATTGAACTGTCAGTCCTCCGCTTTGACAGCATCTCACTTCTACCTCCTTCGCTGCCAAGGTTACCGTGTTCTCAGTTATCCTGCCTCCCTTGTGCTCCTCGCTGGCTGCTGCTGTTTGGGGAGCAATTTCAAGTTTTCATCCCCTCTGTGAATTTATCCTTCAGTTTCCAGTTTCTTCTTCCCTCAGCTTTTGCTATTATAAAATTCACTTACATTTTGCTTTTTTTTTTTTAACAGATAAATGTAACAATTCTGCAAGTGTGTCCGTCCCTTGACTGTGGTGGAAAGGTTTTAAACTGAGACCCGGTCGTTAGCATGTTGAATGAGAAGTGAATGCCTCCTCATTCTGTGCTGTCATACAAGGTCAAGAAGAAGTGAACCATTCAGCTTTCTCCACTTTGGGTTTTCTTCTTTGGCTCTGTGCCTTTGTTGAAAATCCTCTGTCACTCCCTTAACATTTCAGTTTGCTCAAACTTGGGTGTTAGTTAAAAATCAGTTTGAATAAAACCCATTACAGATTGTGGAATGTGTTTACCCCCACCCCTTTCTCACTTTCGTCTTCCTGGATGTCTTTCGCTAATTTCATTCTAAAGTAGTGACGCATACTTGCTTCCTCCTCATGTTGGCAACTGCACAGTATATTTGGCTCTAAGGCACCACCAGCATTCAGCAAATACCTGTTTACCAGTTATTAAGCTGAACCTTGGCCAGGCCCAGGGTGTTTACAAATGTGTGGTGCGCAGTCCCTCTCTTTAAGAATCTTACATGAGAGTGAGGGATGGAGATAAATAAATGGAAAGTTAGAATACAGTGTGGCAAGTGGCTGGTGTGCATAAAGTGGGGTGCTTAATGTGGTCTCGACCAAATCCTATAAGAATTGTAACCTGCACCTTGGCCAACAAATAGAAGTTAGCCTTTTGAAGAGTGGATGGGGCAAGGGGTGAGTGGGGCATGGGGTGGGTAGCTGATATGTTTCATGTGACATGGGGGTGAAATTTAGCTGGACACCATGGAGGCAATTTAGGAGAGTTAAAATATTGACTATGAATGTATATGGAGAGAGAGGTGGGGAGGAACGACGTAAGACTAGACATAAAGAGTAAAGTTGCTTTTTTTTTTTAACCCTGATACTGATAAAGGCTTTTTATACTCTACTAAGGGTTATGGCTTTTTAAAAAAATCTTAAACATAGAAGGGAATCATCTGATAGTTTTAACCATATTAAGGGTGTCTCGTGATCATGGTTACATATTTGGCTACAGCATAGAGAATGCATTACACTCAACAGTATCCAGCAGGCACTTACTCAGTACTAAAGCCTGCAGACATAGTCACCAAAGGGCAGACACACATCCTGCCTTCAATTCCAGTGGGTGGCAGTATTGGTGGCATGAATTCCAGTTAGGCTGTGTGTGAAATTCTCGTGGTCTGAGCTGCAGTATTGCAGTTGGGATGGAAACAAGTGTGTACAGTTAAGAGATGCAGGAAGTCATATTGATGGAACACGGTAACTGACTGGGTGGGGGTGGGGCGGTGTGCGAGGGCGAGGCAGGGGTCTTTACAGACTTCCAAATGTTGACCTGCATTCTCCTTCCTTTTTTTCGTTTGATAGCCTGGTGACTTTGTGGGTGTTTCTGTTTCCGTATGTCTCGTTACCAGTTTGACCAGCTGTCATTTCTGTCATCCCATTTGGTGGGTGCACAATAGTATGGAAAATACGATGGGTCATTGACCTTGTCGCAGAGGCCGTTTGCTATGGGAGAGCTATTATCAAGAATTATGCTAAGCAGCTCTTCTTGTCAGATGACTTTTTCTAAACTTTCATTCTGTTACATGATGCGCAGGACAGCAAGGCTGCAGGGATTAGGTGTGGAAGAGGAGGCAGGATGGCTGCAAAAATGTGAGAAACGTGAAATCTCATAACAAAACTATTAGGAGTGCTAACCACCACCCCCTCTCTGCCCAAAAAAAAGAACACCGAGGGCAATAGAATGAAAGATTTTTAATGGGCATTTTAGTTTACTGTGAGTGATACTAAACCAGATTATTTTTCTAAGAGGCTTCCTGAGGACTTAGTGTTCTGTATCATACTGTGAAGAACGGTTTCTGGAAAATGCTGCACACTCAAATTTGCCTCTTTAAAAAATCTGGTTAAATTTGTTGAACCAGAGTTTTGCAAATATATTTTCCCCATTTGTTTTCCACTAACACTGTATCAACATCCTGTGGAACTGACACCTCCCAGAACACACAGATTATAGAAATGGTGGTCTTTCCAGGCAGTGACCATAATGATGGTTAACCCTTATAAGCATTTATTATCTCCTATGCATAGTGTTAAATTCTTTTCATGAACTGTCTCATTTTGTTTCCATACTGACAACACTGTGAGGTAGACATTATTATCCTCATTTTAATTATAACAAAAATACTTCTAGTTGAGTAATTTATTCAAAGGCATATAGACATTAGGCAGGAAGCTGGGTTTTAAGCCAAGCAACCAAATATAAAAGGTCAGACACCTATCCCTTTGTACATTCTCTTGACATGTCACAAGACCGAGGTCCATGGAGAATTCGCAGCTATTGAAGCCACTGAAATTCCTTGTTATCTCATGAATGAGGCAGCCTCTCATGCACTCCAGGGGCAATAAAACATCCAAATGACTGAACATTCCTCTAATCTCATAGGCACTGAGCCCTTACGCGTGCCAACCATCAGGCGAGTCTTCTCATGTTCACATCTCATATTAGAGAAGAAGGGGCTGTAGCAGGAGATCCAGAAACTCCCCCAAGATCACACAATTAGAAACCAGTAGAGCCTGGGCTCAAATCCAAACAGTCTGATTCCGGAGAGTCTGCGTTCTTCGTCATACAACACTGCCTCCTCAACACCTGAATTCGTGTGTGCAGTTTCTCCAAGCCAGAAAGTGTTAACATAGATCTATCTTAAGTATGCAGGATATAGCCATTTATTTTGTATACGTTTATCAGTATGAAAGATTCCCTTTAAAATTGTATAGCCACCATTGCTACCACCGAGTCCTATTTCTGGAGATGGAATGTTTTGGAAGTGAAAAGGTGAGGAAAAAGATAACTTAGAGAACTCAAGAGAAAGAGGAATCAGGCTAAGTCAGGAAGTGACCTCACAAATTTGCACTAGAATGAAGGCAAGAACGTAGGTCAGACAAGAATGGAGTTCAGTATAGGATCTAAAGTCTGAGAAGGCACGGGGTGACAGACATACATTTTCATCTCTCTCATAAGTAAATGCAGATGGTTTATATTTGATACCAGTTTTGCTTACTCCTCATCAATGGTAGTCAATGTGAAGAGTTTTAGATTTAGACAACCGGGAGTTTGACTTTTTACTCTATCACTACATGGCCTCAGGCAAATTTCCGAATTTCCTCATCTACAGAATGGGGATAGACATACCAACATCCCTAACTTGTCCGGAAAAACAGTTAAAATAACATTGCACAAGGAGCTACAGGAATTAGGTGCTACACTTTTGTTACAGGTAGCCGTCACTTCATTCTAACATTTCTTTGCTTTCCTGAGTTTTGTAGTCTCAAGTTGAAAATGTTACCTTGATACGTTTCATTCTGCTTTTCCATTTTTCTTCTACTTCTCATAAAACACAGCATGGTGGATTTCAACAATATTAAACCATCCATGTATCTCCAGTAACAGTGTTCTACAATACGGTGACTTTTTAAAAACACACTCAGAACAATAGATTTGAAGTGATGTTATTCTGTGCAGAAATTCATCAGACACATTTCATCTAAACCGTTGACTCTGACCATTTGACTTGGCCTTGAAGGAGGGATTTTTTTTAAAAAAAACAGTAAAATGGATCATTTATTTAAAGATTTTTCAAACAACTGTGCCTTGCATTTTGTAAATTAAATCTATATTTATGTGGAGAGAAAAATGGTAATATTTCCCAGTTAATTTAGTCTATTGTTAAGCGAATCAAGACTGACTGAGGTAGGGCTCTCGTATCTCTTACCTTGGATCAGGGTACTTTGGAAAACTACACTTTTTTTTATGTTCATAGTTTATATACAGTGAACAGCCTTTTATATACAAGAGATGCAATATGTAGGTGTTAAGGTATCACAGAAAGCTTTAGATATAACACACCTAGAATGGAAAAGCAATCGTTTCACATACTTAGGATTTTTTTTTTTTTTGCAGGATGAGTAAGAGATACTTACAGAAAGCAACAAAAGGAAAACTGCTAATAATAATATTCATTGTAACCTTGTGGGGGAAAGTTGTATCCAGCGCAAACCATCATAAAGGTAAGCCCCTCTGTTCTGTCTCTCGGCTCCTGTGAAAGTTGGCTCCCTTTACTGCAGACTATTGTGTCCTGTCTTCACTAGTCTGTTAATTTTACTAGATATGCGTCTGCCCATGGCACTTCTCTTCAAGGAAAAATACAGAGGGAGTCATTCTTACTATGGCTTTGACAGGGAATGAATGATTATTTACATGTTTCCAGGATTACTGACAATTCTGCAAATTGTGTTCAGAGACTATGGAACTGTGATTCTGTCTTTTCGTACCATTTCCGTTTTTAAGATGTGATGTTAAAATGTTGAGTTGACATGTGATAATGATGAGTTTCAAATTACAGTCATTCTTTAATGAAAGCATCTTCAATGATATTTATCTTAATAATATGGATGTATATAAACTTCCTCTCAGTGCTTTTTGTGGATCACATTTCTCCACGCCAGAGTAGCTCTCTGGCTGTTTGGATTCTACCTGTAGTGCAATGTTCAGCAGCTTCAATTCTACCATAGAACGGAGTGAGGGTATATGTATTTTATACCTGGTGTGCTAAGCTTGACAGCCCAAAATTATGCCTTTTCTATTCTCTTTCCTGAGCATAAGACTCAGTATAATGCATAAATACTTGTCCCAAATGAATTAAAATGGGCTATTTCTGGACTGTCCCTACCATAATCAAGTATTCATAACCCAGTAAGTCAATTTAGATTTTTCTGTGAAATATGCTTGTATAATTCAGTTCTCAGTCCTCTGTAAAGTCCAGAGATTAGCAACTTACTTTCTCATTTTATTTCTGGGTTGAAGAGAGAATTAAGACTGCCTTGAATTCTGTAACATTTAAAATAGTTAAATATGTGCATTTAATTAGCATTATGTGGAACATGAACACTGGGAGGGGAAAGATGTGGTGTGCGGGAGTGATGCCTATAAGACAAAATCCTTGCCTCCTGTGTTTAAAACCAGAAAGAGTCATCTTTCAAAATATAAATTTTATGAAGAGGTCTTCATACTTCAGTCTTATTTTGTGTGTGTTTAAAATATAAAATATATAAAACATTATGTATATATAAATACATAATGTATATTATATATGAGTTTTCTTCCTTTCCTTAATACAATATTCTGATCCACCAATAAAACTTTAAATTCTATTTAATAAGGGTTATCGGTGTAAAACTAAAAAGATGTTGAGGAGGACTTTATTCCCATGTTTTCAGGTTGGCAGGAGCGAAACAAACTTAAGGACAAAGCACTGTTAAATGCTTACCTTTTAAAAAGATGCAGACTGCTGGGGCTGGGCCCCCTGCCTTGTGCTTAATACGGAGACAAGACACATCATCCTTACTGTCTGCATGGATGGTCATCCTAGTGTGCCTTCCCAGCCTGTAAAAGAAAAATTGAGAGAAGTGGGGGAAATCCACAGTCATTGTGGGTGTCATCCTGGCAAAGCAGGGGTCCATGATAAAGATGCTTTCTCATCTCCAAAGCCAATTGATGGGGTCTCTAAGAGAGTCACTCATAAAGACTGCTCCACAGTGGCTATTACTATTTTAAAGCTACTTTTAAGAAGTTGAAGTGATGTTATGTTCTATGCTAACTCCAGAACTAAGATCTTTTCTTACTTTTTGCCAGAAAAAAAAAATTTCTTGAACCTAAGAGATGATACATTGTCTCAGGAAATCTACTTAAAATGCCAAACCCTGCACATAATAGAACATGGAGTTTTGTGTTTTACTGATCTATTTCCAGCCTGCCAAGGCTATTTGGGAGATTTTTTAAAAAAAGATGTCTCTACCTTTCTCTGCTTCCCTCCTTCCCCTTTTCCTTTCTTTCTTTCCTTTATATTTTTCATGGAAAATCCTCCTTTTGTTTAGACTATTCTATACTTACTGAGTGTAATATATCTGTATGTTTTAGGACATATTCATGAAATGAACATGAGTGTGCCCACCACCCAAGTGAGACACATGACATTTCTAATACTCTTGAAACTGACTGTCAGACACTCTAATTTCATTGTTTTGCCTCCTTACCCAAGGTAGTCACTATTCTTAATTTTGTGGTTATAATTCCTTTGCTTTTATTTATGATTTCACCATGTACTGACATATATCTAAATGGCATGCTGCTTAATTTTATTGTTATTGAATTTACATAATAGTATTATACTGTATTTTTCTGTAATTTGCTATTTTGCCCAACAATGTATTTGTGATATTCATTAAGCTTGATGGCATGTAGCTGTAGTTTATTATTATTATTTTTTTTACTGTTGCTCTGTATTTTATTGTATGAAGTCACCACAATTTATATATTTATTTTCTTGCAGTGAACATTTGGTATTCTATTTTCTTGTCATTATGCAATATACTTCCATGAATATTCTTATACCTCCTTCCTGGCACACATGTGCCAAGATTTCTCAAGAGTGCTTTCCAAGGAGCAGAATTCTGGGTCACAGGCCGTATATGTCTTCAGCTTTACCAGACTATGTCAAATGGTCTTCCAAAGTGTTAGTACCAATAAAGTCATTCAAGATATTTCTTTTTATTGAGGTATAGTTGATTTATGATATTATATTAGTTTTGTGTGTACAACATAGTGATTCACAATTTTTATAGATGATATTCCATGTAAATTTATCATAAAATATTGGTGACATTCCCTGTGCTGTGCAATGTGTCCTTGTCCCTTATTTTATACATAGTAGTTTGTACTTCTTAACCCTCTACCCCCAGCTTCCACTTCCCCCTTTCCTCACCCTCACTGTTAATCACTAGTGTTTCCTCTATATTTGAGTCTGTTTCTGTTTTGTTGTGTTCATTTTTTTATGTTAACAATATACAGTACTTGTCTTTCTCTGTCTGACTTATTTCACTACACATAACACCTTCCAGATCCATCCATGTTGTTTCACGTGGCGAAATTTGATTGTTTTACGGCTGAACAGTATTCCATTGTGTATCTTTACCACATCTTCTTTATCCATTCGTCTGTTGATGGACACTTAAGTTGCTTCCATGTCTCGGTTATTGTAAATAATGCTGCTATAAACACTGAGCATAGAAACTTTTCAAATTAGTGTTCTTGTTTTCTTTGGATATATACCCAGGAGAGGGATTTCTGAATAAGGTGGTAGTTCTATTTTAGTTGTTTTGCAGAACCTCTGTATTGTTTTCCACAGTGGCTGCACCAATTTACTTTCCCACCAGCACTGTGCAAGGGTTTCCTTTTCTCCACATCCTCACCAGTGTTTGTTATTTGTGGTCTTTTTGATGATAGCCATTCTGACAGGTGTGAAGTGATAACGCATTGTGGTTCTGATTTGCATCTCTCTGATGATTAGTGATGTTGAGCATCTCTTCGTGTGCCTGTTGGCCATCTGGGTGTCTTCTTTGGAAAAAAATGTCTATTTCAGATCTTCTGCTCATTTTTTAATTGGGTTGTTTGTTTTATTGACTCTTATTACTGCCTTTATTTTAAAGTTCATTTTGTCTGTTGTAAGTTTTGCTACTCTGGCTTTCTTTTGATTTCGATTTGCATGGAAGACCTTTTCTCATCTCCTCGCCTTCAGTCTGTGTGTTTCCTTAGGTGTGAGGTTTTGTACGCAGTGTATACATGGGTATTGTTTTTGTACCTATTCAGCCACCGTGTATCTTTTGATTAGAACATTGATTCCATTTGCATTTAAAGTAATTATTGATAGGTGCATAATTACCACTATTTTGTTCATTGTTTCGGGGGCGGGGGGTCTGTAGTTCTTCTTTGCTCTTTTCTTCTCTTCTCTCCCCTTACAGTTTGACGACTGTCTTTGTGTTTGGATTCCTTTCTCTTTTTTGCTTGTGTGTCTGTTATAGATTTTTGGTTTGTAGTTATTATGAGGTTTATATATAGCAGCCTATATGTATACGTGATTTAGTTGCTGATCTCTCAATTTCAGACACATTTTAACAACCCTCCATCTTTACTCCCCCACCATGATGATTCTATTTTGACAGTATAATTTATGTCTTTTTGTTTTGTGTATCCCTTAACTACTTATTGTGGATATAGATAATTTTACTACTTTTGTCTTTTAACCTCCTCCCATCTTTGAATGTGTATATTTGCCTTTACCAATGAGCTCAGTTGCCTCCTACCTGCCTGGGAGACCCTCCAAGATCAGCAGGTGGATCTGACTCAGGATCTTTTCAAATAGATCTGCCCTGGGTCCCAGAGTGTGTGAGATTTTGTATACACCCTTTAAAGGTGGAGCCTCTATATCCCACAGCCCACATGACTTTCATCATGGGTAAGGCTTAGGGCAAGGGAGGCCTATTCACTTATTTTTATTTTATTTTATTTTTTTGTGAGATAATTAATGGGAAATCTGACTCTGATCCAGAGCACTTTGAGCATTCAAGATAAAAGTAACACAGCTGCATGTTAAAAACCCAACAGCTCTATTTTAAGAGCTCTATAGATACCAATCCTTAAGACAATCTCTAAGGTAAGTACGATTACTAAGCCTATTGTATAGATCAGAAACTGTGGCAAAGAATGGTTCAATAATTTGGCCCCAGTTGCCTGGCTAGTAACTGTTGGAAGCAGGATTCAAACCAAGGAAGACTTGTTCCAGATGACATGATATATATCTAGTTGTGAATTTCTTTTTGTTGATACTATTTGGGATTTGGTTGACTTCCTGAATTTATAGTTTGGTATTTTTCATGAACTTTGAATAATTTTCAGGCATTGTCTCTTGAAATACTGCTTCCATACCATTGTCCCTACTCTGTAGATGTATGTCAGCTTTCTCTCTCTGCTCTCCATGTATTTCAACCTTTATTTTCTATTTTCCACCTTCAAGGCTTTTTATGCTATATTCTGGGATGTTTATTCAGATCTTTTTTTTCCTACCACACTAATTCTGTGTTTTCCTGGGCTTAATCTGTTCTCTGATGCATATGTTGAGTTTTAATTTCATCTATTATATGCTACTAAAAATTCTTTTCTTCTTGCAAATTGG